GACAGATGTTGTGTATACTGATCTAGCCAAAGCCTTTGACAAGGTTAACCACGCTGTGTTTGTCAGAAAATTTGAATCCTTTGGTTTTGATTCAAGCCTTATTTTATACTTAAAGTATAGGGTGACCCATTTTCGATGTTTTAATGGGCTATATCGAAAACCAGCAGAGATATCAAAAATCTGGGATCACATTCTCGAGCTTTTTTTTTTGAGAAAATAACAATGGTGAAGACAAATCACGACTAACTTCATGCGTTTAGGAAATACAGGGTACTTTTCCAATTTTGTCCAATTTCAAAACACTTTTTAATTTCTTTATTAATCAAGATATCCAAAAACTAAAAATACTTTTTATAGGCAGTTTTTCACATAGAATCCAGTGGCATGACCAATTTTTTTCCAGATGCTACCGATTTTTGAATATTAACCAAAGTTGTGTTTTTTTAAATGATGACGTCATCCTAAATATAACATAAAAACCCTATATTTTAGCGTAAGTCTTGATTTTAAGGTAATATTGTAATACCGGCCCCGGTTGAAAATTTTTATTCCATAACAATAATAATTGCGAACGTGCTCTATGAATTAACCAACGACAAATACTTGTTTCTAAATTATGACGTCATCGATGACGTAAGTAAGTACAAAAAGTGCAACAAAAAAAAAAATTATTTGGTTGCACTAATTTTTTATATTAGTGTTAGGTAGTGCCACTGTAGGTATTGCTATGGTGGGATGCCGAATGGGAGTGCTAATTTTTGCTTTAGGGGTGCTTAGCACCCTACTTGCGCCTATGACAACAATATACTATTAGGCTCCATGGAGGGCCTTAATAAACAATTCTCTAAATAGAAATGCATTTTTTCATAGAAAATTTTATTACCAAATTCGTAGGTACTCAAAATAGGTTTTCCATTTAAATATAGTTTCCAAAAGACTTATTATGATGCCTTGAAATGACTCCAGTTTCCTTTTAATGTAATTTCTTCAAAAACCATATCACGTAAACCTATATATTTTATTGAAAGCACTCTTGTGTACAACTAGTAGCAATTCTAGCAATGTCTTACCAGGCATATTATCGATGCGGCTAATCATGGTCTGTCACCGTTAACATGTACAGTTATAACAAAACGTTTCTCTCAATATAGACAGCTTCTTTTTCCTATTTTAATACAACAAAATTTAAACGTAAGTATAACAACTAAGACCCAAATATTCGATGTTGCATCAACAAATTTGTTTGCATAATACATCCTTTTCCTGACAAGTAACTTCCTTACTTTTTGATAAAGAAACCTCATTGTTTTGGCATATTGCCTTCTTTTTGGTCTGCTTTAATAGAATATTGGCTTCCTTTGGGGCCGTACAACGTTACAAATCCGACAGAGAATATTTTCTAGATAAACAATCTATATTTATTGAAATATACAGTAGCCAGACGGAAAAAATGCATCCTATAAATGGAGAATAAGGGTTATCTAACATTCGCGAGGCGCCAAAGACTTATTATTAATAATTTTCTAGTAAATGACGACGGGATAATTATTTATCAATCAAAGAAATCGAGCCGAGCTTGCCGCAGCCAAGCCTGCTTGTTTTTTTTTGATTTATTTTGTAAATTGAAATTGTTTTACAGAAAGTTGTTGAACTTTTTCGATTTACCAAGCGCCGCCTAGCCGGATATCTAAATATATCGAGATTGTCTAGAAATTCAGACCGTTTATGTGTATTCAATTATTTCATAATTTCATTTTTGTTGCAGGGGTACTTGGAACAATGGAGAAGCGACCCGGATTGCCCTCTTACTGAATATCTTCCGGATTTGTTCACTAATTTAGAAGAAATTTGCGAATTTAGTAGGTAAGTGTCCTACATCTTTATTTTTTAGATACCGACTTGGTAAAAATTGAAATCTATGTATATCCTACACATCAACAATTTTTTTAGCTTCCTAGATAGGAAGCTATGGTGATAGCCCGATTTTGACCATGTCAAAATTTCATTAAATCTTGACGTTTTGGATCATTTTAAGCCTTTTTGGCAAGGTGGCACATTTCCGTCTGTGTGTGTGTGTGTGTATGTATGTGTGTTGGCATTTTTCTGAGAAAACGGCTCGATGGAATTTGATGAAATTTTGGAAATAGGTATAAAAAGACGTGTAGGGAAAAGTTACACAGAGATATACCGGGTGTCTACGAGAGTAGTTTCGCGCTGGCATTTGCTGGGTTTTTTTTCAATGGCAAAGATTTTTGGTATAGAGTATAGGTTTGAGAAATGTCATCTTTTGACATATGTGTCAATGTTTGGTAACTTCCAGTTTGACTGGAAATGACCCTAACTTCGTAATTTCGAATGGCATCCCAAGAATTTTTTCGCATTTTTGGGATCTGCGGATCATGATGTGTATGAAAACATTAAATTTGAACATTTTTGATGAAACTTTAGAATTCTGGATCAAAATTTATTTTTGAATAGGAAGTGACAGAATCGTCTTTAAATTAATTTTTCAACTAACATGATCGTAGAAAAATACGAATGCCCATGTTGTTACTTTGCTTGTTCTCCAAAAGCTTCCAAAGTTGTGAAAATCCCATTTTACGTGATATCTCAATGAAATCAGTGAAATCACCCAACTTTCACAACAAGAGTTTTTTACCTTTTTCATAATAAAACCAACTATGCAATAAAACTTTTCATTCATGCCAGTTTTTAATTATTTTTTTATTATTTTTATTATGCACTACTATAAATGATAAGATAAAACTACCTATAAATGAGCCCCTGTATTCAAACTTTGTATTTACAAATTCCCGAGATACCAAACAATGACAAATGTCTATGCAAACAATAGTAGATTATACCACGAGTCAATAATGATAGCTATTATTCCCGAGGATTATTACGAACTGAGCCGCGTTAGCGGCGAGGGAGTAACATTCCGAGGGAATAATAGCCATTATTGCGAGTAGTATACTCTAGTTTATTTACGACAAATTAATTAACACAAATTTCATCCGTCTCATAATTTTCAATACAAATCCACAAGCACTTCACGTTTGACACTGACACTTCTGTGGAATAATGACCATTAATCTTTGAATATAAAACTACAGGAAGGAGCGTTGTCTATCTGTCACTGCAAACAAAAAAGCGACGGAAGCCGCCATTTTGAGCCTCCAAGTTTGGACTCATCATTTGTTTTGGTGGTTCCCTGTGTCCTCATTTAAGTGGATGTTTAATGGATTTTAGCGGTTTTAAGTGATGATAAGTACTGGAATTAGTGAGAAAAGAGTGAGTCATAATATTGACAATCATATTTAAATAAATATACGCTACTGCCAAACCGGAAATACTAGTCGGCCATATGCAACCTCCACATATTTTGGTCGCGCAGATTCGAAGTTATGCTCCTTCCTGTAGTTTTATATTCAAAGCCATTAATCCCGCTACTCGTCATTAATCCCTGGAGGAATAACATATGTCATTATATTGCCAAAATCACAAATATAATACGCATATTATACATTAGTCGTAAATAAATGTATCTTATCCATAGATCTTGTCAATGGCTTGACAAGTAAAAAAAGACCACCAGCTCCTTTTAGACAGCGTTTTTTCATACAGGGGTTCATTTACAAGTAGTTTCATCATTTATAGTAGTGCATAATAAAAATAATGAGAAAATAATTAAAAACTGGCATAAATGAAAAGTTTTAATGCATAGTTGATTTCATTTTGAAAAAGGTAAAAATCTCTTGTTGTGAAAGTTGGGTGATTTCACTGATTTCATTGAGTTATAACGTAAATTGTGATTTTTTCAACTTTGGAAGCCTTTGGAGAACAAGCAAAGGATAACAACTTGGCATTCGCATTTTTCTACGATCGTGTGAGTTGAAAAAAACAGTTTAAAGGCCATTCTGTCACTTTCTATTCAAAAATAAATTTTGATCCAGAATTCTTAAGTTTCTTCAAAAATGTTCAAATTTGACATTTTCATACACATCATGATTCGCAGATCCCAAAAATGCGAAAAAATTCTTGGGATGCCATTCGAAATTACGAAGTTAGGGTCATTTCCAGTCAAACCGGAAGTTACCAAACATTGGCACATATGTCAAAAGATGACATTTCTCAAACCTATACTCTATACCAAAAATCTTTGCCATTGAAAAAAAAACCAGCAAATGCCAGCGCGAAACTAATATCGTGGACACCCGGTATAGGAAAAAAAAATCCTCTCCAAGATATGACCATAAGCGCAACTAGGCTCCAAATTTGAGGGGTGCTACAGCACCATTTTTTTTTTATGATGGGGTTTGATAGAAAGGAAATGAGACGCGTAAAAAAATGAAATTTTCCTCTAATAAGCTCTTCACTTTCCTTTTTCTCCTGTAAAAATTTCAAAATTTTCATGTTGCCAGTTTTCCAAAAAAAAATTAAAATGTAAGAGGGTGAATTTTCCTTAATTTTGCCTAAATAAGTTAATTTTCTTTGAATTTTTCCTGGAGTGATTTTTCACTGGAAAATTTCGAAATTTCCCTATAATGAGTTCCTCACTTTTCTCTTTTTCCTGGAAAATTTTCAAAATTTTCCCTTTAGCAGTTTTCCAAAAAAAAATTTAAATGTGAAAGGATGAATTTTGCTTAAAACAGTCAATTTTCCAGAACTTTCCTATCGACTTTCCTTAGAGTGATTTTTAACTAGAAAATTTTGAAATTTTCCTATAATGAACTCCTCATTTTCTTCTTTCTTCTGGAAAAATTTCACAAGTTTTGCTTTATTAGTTTTCCAGAAATAAATTAAAATGTGAAAGGATGAGTTTTTCTTAATTTTACTTGAAAAAATAATTTTTTCAGAATTTTTCCTGGAGCGATTTTCCATTGGAAAATTTTTAAATTTTCTTATAATGAGCTCCTGACTTTCCTCTTTTTCCTCTTTTGCCAGTTTTCCAGAAAAAAATTGAAATGTCAGAGGATGAATTTTCCTTAATTTTATTTGAAAAAGTCAATTTTCCAGAATTTTCCCTAGAGTGATTTCTCACTGAAAAATTTCGAAATTTTCCTATAATGAGCTCCTCACTTTCCTCTTTTTCTTGGAAAATTTTCAAAATTTTCCCTCTGCCAGTTTCCCAGAAAAAAATTAAAATGTAAGAGGGTGAATTTTCCTTAATTTTGCTTAAATAAGTCAATTTTCCAGAATTTTTTATGGAGTGATTTTTCATTTGAAAATTTTAAATTTTTTGCAATAATTTCTGTAATTTTCATAGTTTTTCGTAATGTCCATAATTCTCAAAATTTTTCGTTATTCACGTAATTTTTCATAATTTCCATTTTTCGTAAATTCTGTAATTTTCTGTAATATTGAGAAAATTTCCGTAATTTACAAATAATTCCTGTAATTTTGAATAATTTTGAGTAATTCCTGCATTTTTGGAATAATTCTTGTAATTCCCCTATTTTTTTGTAATTTCCGTTATTTTTCGTAATTTCTGTAATATTCGAATAATTTCCATAATTTCAGAATATTTTTTGAAATTTTGAATTATGTATATAATTCCTATAGTTTTGAATTGATAATTTAAAAAATATAGGAATTGCAAAAATTTCGGAAAATTTTACGAAAATTACAAAAATTGAAATTAGCAGAAATTATAAAATTTCAAAACTTCAAAAAGTTACTAGATTTTTAAAAAATTATAAGAATTATAAAAATTAAAAGAATTAAAAAATTACGAAAATAATTTATTAAAGAATTACAAAAATTGAAAAATATTAGAAACTACGAAAAAATCAAAAAATTACCGAATTTACAAAGATTCCACAAAAATTTACGGAAATCGTAAAAATTAGGAAAATTATAAAAATTCCATTAAAAGCTTACGGAAAATACAGGAATACGGGAAATATAGAATTAATAAAAATAAATTGAAAAATTATAGAAATTTCAAAAATTACAGGGATCGCGAAAAAATCGGAAAAATTGCAAAAATCGCGGGAATTTTGAAAAATTACGGGAAATTCATTGATTATTAAAAAACTAAGAGGAAAATTGAAAAATTACAAAAAAATCGGGTATTACAAAAGCAATGAAAATGAAAAAAATTGAAAAATACTGGAAATTCGAAAATTACAAAAATTGAAATTAGTAGAAATTACAAAAATTTCAAAACTACAAAAAGTTACTAGATTTTTAAAAAAATATGAGAATTATAAAAATTAAAAGATTACGGAAAAAATTTATTAAAGAATTACAAAAATTAAAAAATATTAGAAACCACGAAAAAATCAAAAAATTATCGAATTTGCAAAGATTCCTCAAAAAATTAAGTACGGAAATCACGAAAATTAGAAAAATTATAAAAATTCCATTAAAAAATTATGGAAAATACAGGAATACGGAAAATATAGAATTAATAAAAATAAATTGAAAAATTATAAAAATTTCAAAAATTACAGGGATCTCGAAAAAATGAAAAAAAAAAAAAATCGGAAAAATTGCAAAAATCACGGGAATTTTGAAAAATTACGGGAAATACTTTAATTATTAAGAGGAAAATTAAAAAATTACAAAAAAATCGGGTATTATACAAAAGCAATGAAAATAAGTTTAAAAAATACTGGAAATTCAAAAATTATGTAAAATTACAAAAATAATTGAAAAATTACATAAAATACGGAAACTACAAAAAAATAACAAAAATCATTAAAATTGCAAATATCATGAAAATTTGAAAAAATTACAGCACTTACAATTATTGAAAAATTAAAATGAGAATTGCAAAATTACGAAAAAAACCGGGAATGGAAATACTTATGTAATGGAAATTATTTTAAAAAATTACGGGAATTTCAAAAACTACGTGAAATTGCAAAAATCATTGGCAAATTACGGAAATTACGAAAAAATTACAAAAATCACGAGGATTACCAAAATCACGGAAATTTCAAAAATTATGTAGAACTGCGAAAATCATGGGTAAATTGCGAGAATTAAATTTGTGAAAAATTAGGAGAATTATAAAATTACGAAAAAAATCACGGGAATTTCAAAAATTATTAAAATTTCGAAAACATTAGAAAATAACGTATAACGGAAAAATAACAAAAATAACGAGAATTGCAAAAATTACGGAAAATTTAAAAAGTTACGGAAACCACCATTATTAAAAACTAAAAAGGAGAATTATAAAATTTGAGTATTACAAAAGCAATGGAAATTATTGGCAATTTCAAATATTACGTAGAACTACAAAAGTCATTGATAAATTACGTAAACTACAGGAATTATAAAAATGAAAAATAACGAATATTACAAAAAATCACGGAAATTTCAAATAAATTCGGGAATTACAGTTATTGAAAAATTAGGAAAATTATAAAGTTACGAAAAAAATCATGGAAATTTCAAAAATTATGTAAAATTACGAAAATTATTGGAAAATTACGTAATATGGAAAAATATTAACAAAAATCACAAAAATTTCAAAAAATCACGGAAATTACATTAATTATTGAAAAAATTCAGAGAAGAATTATAAAATTGGAAAAAAAATCGAGTATTATGGAAAACAATGAAAATTATTGAAAAAAATTACGCCAATTACAAAAATTACGTAAAATTGCAAAAAATGATTGGAAATTACGTTTTTCATTACGAATTTCAAAAATAAGGGAAAAAACCCCGCACACCTCTTATGGGATTTGGGACTTCCGCCAAATTTAACCATATTCTAGTATGATATAAATTTGACCTTTCTGATCAATACTTTTCATTGGCCCAACTTGATCCTAGGACTAGTGTTTGAGATACTAGCTTGATGTCCAAGAAATGTACACATTTTATGAGCATTTACATCTACCTGTCACCTAATAATACATATATTAATACCAGGATGGACAGGTATCCTCACGTTCACATATAAAATGTGTATATTTCTTGAACATTAAACTACCTGTATCTCAAAAACTAGTCATATGATCAAGTGGGGCCAATGCTAAGTATTGATCAGAAATGTCAAATTTATATCGTACTAGATTTTGGTTAAATTTGGCGGAAGTCCCAAATTCCATAAGAGGTGTGCGGGGTCCTTTCAAAAATTTGCGGAAATTATCATTATTGAAAAATAAAATAAAGAAATTGCGGGAATTAAAAAAATAACAGAAATCACGAAAATCATAAAAAATTACGGAAATTAGGAAAATCATAAAAAAAATTAGGACAATTAAAATAATTAGAGGAATTGCAAAAATTACGGAAATTACGAAAAATTGAAAAAAAATATCGGAAATAACACAAAAATTAAGGAATTTGTTAATTAACGAAAATTAGGGGAATTGCAAAAATTGCAGAAATTACGAAAAATTTCGGGACTACCGACAATAATTAAATTTTTAAATAATTATGGAAATTAGAAAAGTTACAAAAATTACGAAAATTCTGGAAATAAATCACGGAAATTTATTAACGAATTGCAAAAATCGAAAAAACCTATGATGATTTTCAAAAAGTTAGAAAATAACAAGAATCACAAGAATCAGGAATTACAATTACAGAATATATAAAATTTCAAAAAAGGTCCAAGAAATTTAAAAAAATTACGACAATTGAAAATTACGAAAACTATCAAAGCTACGAGAATTATAAAAAATTACGGAGATTACGAAAAAGTTACGGGAATTACGTGAATTAGAAATTACAAAGGTTTTCGGGAAATGATACAAATTTTGAAAAATGCCCAGAAAAAATACGGAAATTATGGGAATTATCTACTAATTTTTGAAATATACGAAAACGTGGAATTATAAAAATAACTCAATTTTCTGAGAAACTACGAGAAATAAAAAATTACAAAAATTTGAAGAACAACAGGAATTATTAAAAAAATTATAAGAATTATTTGAGAAATGACAGAAATTACGGGAATTACGAATCTTCGAAAATTACAAAATTTGTTATAATGAGCTTTTTATTTTGTTCTTTTTCTGGAAAATTTTCACAATTTTCTTGCCAGTTTCCCAAAAAAAAATCGAAATGTAAGAGGGTGAATTTTGCCTAAAAAAGTCAATTTCCCAACATTTTTTCTGGAGTGATTTTTGATTGGAAAATTTTGAAATTTTTCTATAATGAGCTCTTCACTTTTCTTTTTCTTCTGGAAACATTTCAAAATTTTCCCTTTACCAGATTTCTAGAAAAAAATTAAAATGTAAGAGGATGAATTATCCTTAATTTTGCTTAAAAGTTAGTTTTTCAAAATTTTTCTTGGATTAATTTTTTACTGAAAAATTTTGAAATTTTTGTAAAATGAGCTTCTCATTTTCCTCTTATTCCTGGTAAATTTTCAATTTTTTTTCCTTTGTCGTTTACATGATATTTAGGAACACCCTGTATTATATGCAGTTAATTAATTTATATACAGGGTGTCAATTTGAAAACTTCTCACCCCTTTTATCTCGGAGTAGAAAAATTTTTGAAAAAATTCCTGAAACGCGTCAACTATAATTTGAATGGGGATAAGTTTTTATGCAAAATTCACCTCTCCTCTTTTAACCCCCAACCCCCAGAGCCACCCCCTAGAAAATCTTAAATGGGAAGAGGGGTCAAGTGATACATCATTTTGCAGGGTTTTTAAGTCCAAAAACAAATTTCAATACCTAAGTTCAACTGTTTTGGAAATATTGACAGTTGGAAATTGACTTTTTTGCAACTTTGACAGGCTGTAAAACCTAAACGGTTAATTTAAGAGGAAAACCAATCTTACATCCTTGTCTTAGATTTTCATAAACTACACAAAGTTGCTGTCAAATGATAGTTTATGAAAATCTAAGATAATAATGTAAGAACGGTTTTCCTCTAAAATTAACCGTTTAGGTTTTACAGCCTGTCAAAGTTGCAAAAAAGTCAATTTTCCAAAACAGTTGAACTTAGGTATTGAAATTTGATACCAAAATGTATGGAATTGAAAACCCTGCAAAATGATGTATCACTTGACCCCTCTTCCCATTTGAGATTTTCTAGGGATGGCTCTGGGGGTTGGGGGGTTGAAAGAGGGGAGGTCAATTTTGCATAAAAACTCATCCCCCTTCAAATTATACTTGACTTGTTTCAGGGATTTTTTTGAAAATTTTGCTATCCGAGATAATAGGGGTGGGAAGTTTTCAAATTGACACTCTGTATTTGAGACTCCAATGATTTTTTAAGAGCCGGTATTTCAGTCACCTTAAGATATAGAATAAACATAGACATTGATAACATTGTCTGACCTTGTTCGATGACGTCATCCTAAATATAACATAAAAACCCTATACTTTGGGGTAAATCTTGATTTTAAGGTAATATTGTAAAACCGGCCCCGGTTGAAAATTTTTATTCCATAACAATAATAATATAAGTGTTAGGTAGTGATATGGTGGGATGCCGAATAGGAGTGCTAATTTTTGCTTTAGGGGGGCTTAGCACCCCCATGCACCCCCCTAGTTGCGCCTATGGATATGACGTCATTGATTTTTTTTTTAAATGGGAACGCCATCTTTTTTTTCATTGATTGGTTAGAGATCATTTTGTATATAATTTAAATGGAAAAAATGTCAAGATTTATTAAAATGAATTCATGGTTTGGTTTGAAATGACAATTAATGACAATGACAATCATTAATTAGGTAGTTATTTGTCTAGGAAGCGTTATGTCAAAAATTTGACATCTGGTTTTTTTAGAAAAATCCTAGAAGATCTACGCATATCAAATCTAGACCCCACCAAAACAGCGAACGTGTTCCTTCAGCACGATGGAGGCTTCAAAGTGTACAACGCCTACTGTGCCAGGTATCCGCGTACCATGGAGGTACTGGGCGTTCTTCAGAGAGACCAAATAATCGCTCCGTTGATTAGGGAGAAACAAATGCAGCTTGGACACGCATTGCCTTTGGGCAGTTACTTATTGAAACCTGTCCAGAGGATTTTGAAGTACCATTTACTTTTGCAGGTAAGGATTCTAGTGTTTGAGAGTGATATGATGAGTTGATTTTTCTATTGGGTGAGCATAATAGATGTGATAATCTGTCCGATAAATCGGCAGAGATTATTGGCGTTTGTTGTTGTTTTGGCTTTTTTGTCTCTGCGGAATTTGTGGTATTTGACTTGGGCGGCGACCTTGTGGCACCCTTATGGCTTTTTGGTTCTGTACCATTTTATGCACATTTTTCAGGTGGTCGATTGCTTCGTTCATTAGACTGATATCAAAGGACTGCGGGTTGTTTTTATCCGCCATTTATCTCATTTCTTTGCAAAATTGTTCGCAATCTTTGCATTTGCAATGGTATATCGCTAGTTTGGCCTTTAAGTTTTTGGTTTTTTCCTTTAGGCTGTAATCAGTGGCACCCACGTTGGCGTAAAATGACACTGAGTCTGTATTTTCTTCCTCTTCGTTCATATTCCTCTTTCTAGAGGGTTTATTTCCGCGTAGTTGCCGTACCTACTATAATAGTTATTTGTTTCACTAGGCAGAAAAGTACAAGATTTAATGCCGCGGCTGGTGTTTCATAGCCGAGGCTAGGAAACCAGCCGAGGCATTAAATCTGCTTTTCTGCCATGTAAAACATATAATTTCTTCTCCGAATGTTCAAATTCACACATGGACGTTTTTTTTATATTTATTTCATTCATTATTATTATCCAAATAATTTGATTATTTTGACAATTGTCATTGTCACCATCAATTTCAAATACAAAATTGAGTGAAATTATTACTTGGAACGTTGTGACACTGTCACTTTTAATGCCTAGGCAGTAAAAGTCCACTTTTACTGCCTAGGCAGTAAAAATACAACTTTTGATCCTGTCAAGTGTCATTAAAAGGCCGCTTTTACTGTCATTTGGAGAAAAAATAGTTTAGAATTGTTGAAATTTCGAAGGCGGTGTGTACCTCCAGACTAGACACACTAGCTGGTCTCTGCTCGGCGGTAGAACAGAGAGTTACTATTATTAATCCATCCAATCCAATCATCAAAAATTTTCTCATTATTATTAAACTTCCAAAAAGTTCCGCACGCAGCTGATGGGTATTTTATGAATGAAATCAGCTAACTGCTTTCCCCTCGCCGATGCCCTGTAGTAAAGAATATTATAGTTAACACTTATAGAAAACCTATTCCATGTATATTTTTTGACCCCCTGAATGAAGCCAGACTTTTCGAGCCTGGCTCCATCGGAGTGGTAGGCTCGCCGTAATCAACGTGGTTCCACTTGATGGCTAGTCGGCGTTGCCATATGTCCATCTAAATATGTATAATAACTTTAAAACGGTGACCGCGCTGATGTGAAAAAACACGATATGCGGAAAAAAATGGAAGGTTTTGTCTTGAAAATATCGCTGAAAAATTGCTAGACGATAATCGCAGTTCGAACTCAAGTTTCTTACAAAAATATCAAAGTTTTTCAATTTTTTTCTGGAAAACTGGCCAAGTAAAAATTGTGCAATTTTTCCAGGAGAAAGACGAAAATGAGGAGCTTATTATAGGAAAATTTCAAAATTTTCCAGTGGAAAATCATTCCAGGAAAAATTCTGGAAAATTGACTTTTTTAAGTAAAATTCATTTTCTTTCTTTTTAGTTTTTTTCCTAGAGAACTGGCAAAAGGAAAATTGTGAAATTTTTTCAGGAAAAAGAGGGAAGTGAGGATCTCATTATAGCAAAATTTTAAAATTTTCCAGTGAAAAATCACTTTAGGAAAAATTTAGGAAAGCTGACTTTTTTAAGCAAAATTCATTCTTTTACATTACTTACAATGGGGTATAGTCAACCATCCAAGGACCTTTTTTTTCAGTTATACATGTAAACCCCATACTTTGTGAGTGGCTTGCTTACATCAAGTCCTACAACTTTTCCTCTACGACTTTTCTCGGAAATGGCACGTATGCGCGCAGGCGACTCGCAAACATTTTAGGGGTATCGGACTCCCCCAATTTGCCATTATTTTTGTCGGCCAAGTTGATTTCCGTGATTTAGAAATAAAAATCAAACATTATTCGTGAAATTAGATTTTCATGTATCAAGAAACATAACCACGTCAGATCGACATTTTGGGGGTATCGGACTCCCCCAATTTGCCATTATTTTTGTCGGCCAAGTTGATTTCCGTGATTTAGACATAAAAATCAAACAGTATTCGTAAAATTAGATTTAACTACATGTATCAGGAAACATAGCTACGTCAGATCGACATGTTTGCGAGTCGCCTGCGCGCATACATGCCATTTCCGAGAAAAGTCGTAGAGGAAAAGTTGTAGGACTTGATGTAAGCAAGCCACTCACAAAGTATGGGGTTTACATGTATAACTGAAAAAAAAGGTCCTTGGATGGTTGACTAGTAGTATACAAGTGATTTTTAACTATTGCTTAGTGATATACTCGACGTATCGTACTATTTAGTGTAATCAGTTACTTTGTTAAAACCGAAATACACTGGATTTTCTTTTTTTAAATTTCCTCTAAGCCCCGCCCCTACGTGAAAATAAAAGTTCGTGACGTAGTTAGTTTTTCCAATCTGGCAACACATCACGGTTTTGACAACAAACAATTTGCACTGACATTGACCGTCAAGAACGAAACGTCAAATTTAGGTTTTTCCAAATTTGAAATAGAAAAACGGCAAGCAATGAGTAATCGTAAAAACTGTTATTTTCCCGGTTGTGGAAATTCATCGGTTAGTGCGCCAAATAAAATATTTTTGACCGTCCCAAAGGACTACGAGAGGAGGAAGAAATGGGTAATCTCCAGCCATGGAAACACTGTTTTTCCAAAATCTGTGTTGTACTACTGCGAGGACCATTTTGATGTGAGTTTATGTGCTTGATACAGTGGTCGTCTATGTATACTATAATATAATCATTCAATATTTATTAGCTGAAAAATGATGCCGAAAATTGGATGTATTTTAAGCATGTGGGCCAAAATTTGAAATTGAAACCAGGAGTTGTGCCACGTCACCAGTGTGTGAAAGAGTTGCCAGCACAATCGTCACAATTAACGCCACTGTCGCGCAAACGGAAGATGGAATGTTCTGCGTTATCAGAAAATCTCGCAAAAGCTAAACGGTCGCTATTCATAACAAAATCTGAAAGTTTAAACATGAGCCCCTTCAAGCAACAAGAGCGTGATGCAAAAAATAATACTGCAGTGAGTTCATCGCCAGGAAAGTTTCAAATTTCGTTTTGTACTGTAGAAAAAGGGAGTCGGACGCAGAAAACAAAAAGTACTCAAACACAACACAATGTACGCCATGTCGTAGCACAAGTAAAACCTGACACAGCGACAATAAGTACAAATACAAGGGTAGGAAGAATACGAATTTGATGTCAGTTTGCAGCTAAGTGGTAGTGAAAAATCAGTGAACTCAGACATACAGAGTCGACCTTCATCAAGCGCCACTTCTTCAAGCAATCATTCTTCATCAAGTAGTGATGCTCTCTTAGTACCCAGAGTACGAAATACTGCATACATGGTGGCTGAAATGGAAAGGTACCCACGTCTATATACGGGCATTCCTCAAGACAGTTTTGGTATAATTAAACTATTGAGTATTGAAACCAGACTAACAGAAGAAGATATTCTGCTAACGTTGAGAAAAATACGTACAAACGATACATTTAGACGACTGGCTATTGAGTTTGGATATAGCGAAAGCTATCCTGCAAAAATATTTGCTAAATGTTTGCCTCTACTGGCTGGTTACCTGCAGGAATTAATACCATGGCCATCAGCGCAAAAAATCAAGGAAACTTCGCCAATACAGTTTTGGGGGACCTACAGAAATGTGCAATCAATCATCGACTGCTTTGAAATTCAAATAGCGAAACCGTCAAACGCCTTAGCGCAAGCTCTAACATGGAGCGATTCTAAAAACGGAAATACAGTGAAATACCTAATTTCCTTAACACCAAGTGGTCTTATAAATTTTGTATCTCATGGATTTGGGGGACGTACATCGGACAAGGAAATAATTCTCCACTTTGGCTACTTGTCTCAGCTACCACCACATTGTGAAGTTCTGGCCGATAGAGGATTCAAAGAGGTTGCCGCGGTACTGGAGGAAAAGCAATGCAAATTGGTACGCCCGCACAGCGTAACGCTATCAAAAAAATTTTCGAAAGCAGAGGTTAGAGAATCGAAACTCATCGCAGCATTACGAATACATATTGAACGTGTTATCCGTCATCTGCGCGAATTTCGTATGTTGACCCCTCATGCATGTACGCCTCTTCCATTAGTAGTTCATTTAGATTACATTGTGATAATATGTTCTGCCATAAGTAATCTACAGGGTGTAATGATAAAATAATATTGACTAAACTTAGACTTTTATTAAATAAATGTTGAGTAGTAACTAAGAATTTAGTTTGGCAAACACCGCTTCTTTCCAAAATTGGAGCGCATCAGCGATCATCTGGCTGCAATAAGCCTTATCCTACGCTACTTCAATAGTAGTAATTTGTTTATCCTCCTCAAAATCAGGAGACGCAACACAAAAAAGACTTTTTTGTCTATCGCAAAGAAACATTTGCAATTGCACCTGAGCATAAAACTTTTCTGTTATTGTTCCATTCTTGTAATAGTTTTCTGTTGTACCGGCTCTTGAAGGGCACTTGATTTCCATGCAATGGTGCTTCGCAATTGCGTCAGGTGAGGCACCAAATATGGGCACTTCTGGTTTGATTGTGAATCCACATCTTTTTGCACAAATCTTCTTTTCTTCACAAAGTACTTGTAGTACTTGTTTTTCTAATATTAAGCCTCGTGGCATGGCTTTACTAGGGGTGAATTTGCGCGCACCAAGTACTGCCTCTAGTGTTGTCCCATCATATGTATGACAGTGTGCAACCTCGTGTAGTTTTGAAGCTGTTATCCGGCCAAATCGAGCAGCAAACCATTCTGGGCATTCACACTGCGTTTTAGTTATTTGACAAATTTTTTTGCATATTTCGGGCGTTAAAACTGTTTTCGCAAATTGGAGAAAATGATCTGCATTGATTATAGGAGCCGTAGCTTGAAATTTCAGTACCATGTGGTGAAGGGAAATTTGCTCAACAACAGTGGGGATGGTCCGAAAGCAGTTGCCAATGGACGCAGTTGAGTTTTGCTCTAATAGTAGCTGAACAGTTTTATCCAGAAATGCTGTTGTTTTTGACCGTAATGGCGGACGTTTATATTTGAAAATATTGACAGTTGTTGTTGGCTTCAAATCCCCCAGTTTTGCTAACGATGACTTCTTCCAGTAACAGACGGTTGAGGTTACTGACGGATGTAAATGTCTCCTCAATAACCAAAAAATCAGCGCTATTCCATGCTTGCAGCCCCCTAACAATCATGGTTTACTTGATTTTCAAGAATGGTTTGCTTATTAGTTACCTACCTTCGCTCGCTTCGCATTCATTACATTTCACATCAATTACTTTATGGCATTCTTCATCAATGCACACACTAACCAAATAGCTTTGTTTTCGAATTTTATGTTCTGGCGTGATTCGAGCTTTTACAATGCACTGGGGATGATCCCTTTTCAACTGGACATACCCTACAGCAACGTCTCCGTAAGATTCTCGAGTAGCTCTTTTAACACAGAATAACCAAAACCATTAGGTAGATATACAAAAGTAATCCATAAGATACTATACCTCTGAGCTTTCACGTTCCGCACCCCAGCAATAAAATACTCAGCAATTTCTTCGTAATATATATCTATCATTTCGCATGTTACTTCGGGCAGATTATATGAATCGGCCTGTACAAATCCTGGGTCCGTTGTCGTTCGCATTTTTTTATGCGTTTGGGTAGTCTCAAATTAAGGCCTTCAAAGTGATCAAAATTCAGAAGTGAAAAATCCAGCAAAAAAGTCACAACAATACAAACAACGCAAACAAACCACTACATCAAACAACGTGAACAATAAGTTACTGTGACAATGTCATACGATTCACAGGACACCACACGTCGTTGAACTGTTGAAGTCAGCTGTCGATTTGACGCATTTTGAGCAGCGTTGCCAGATGATCAGCAGCTCGAATATTATTGGTCGGCGCTGTGGCGCTAAATTTAAATTAAAGTTTATTTTTCTCTGACTAATTCTATAGACACTATGCTGAAAAATAATTTAATATCCCACTATACCATCACCATTAATTTAGCCTATAGAATAATGTCGAGCAGTTTTTTTACTGATTTTCATACATAGTATACTACAATAATGTGGTTTTGTCGATCCGAGTAGGTTTTCAATGTAGAATTTTCAATTGTTTGGGTAGGATCGGAAAAAAAAAACCGCAGAAGTCTGGTTTTTAAAAAAGTCGACGTTTCGCAAAATTTATTTGCATCTTCAGGACACTGTACTGATAAAAAATAAAAGGGTTCTTTACAAACTTAGATGATGAACTACAAAAATACAAAAGACAAACAAAAAACAGAGCTATCCTCCGATTTCGCACTACATTACTTGAATAAATATTTCATAAAAACAGAAAGAAAATAGCAGAATTACATGAAACCTTCAAATAAATTATACGTATATAAAAATATATATAGCTATATTGTAAGTGGGGAGAGTAGCATCATAAAACATAGAAAAAATACTTATAGTTAACAAAGGGTAGTGAAATTGACTTGATTACTTACATTTAAATTAGACTTTCCTTGTCATTGTTGTTTAACAGATTCACATAGGTATAGAGGTTTCTCGAAAACATAGTTGATAAAAAATTAAAAAAAAACACACAATTACGTAGCACAACAATAACAATTTAAAATTTAAAAAAGCAAAAACAACAAACTTTACACACCTCAAATGAGAGATAAAAAAAAAACAAAAATTAACCATTCATCAAACGGAAATGTTATTCAAAAATTAATAACATAAATTATCTTTATAAACTAAGCTTTTAGGACGCAATTGTGTGTGTATTAGAACAGCTACATACACGTACTGATTTTATTTATCGTCATCATTAATAGGATGGGAAACAAAAAACTGAATACCACACATTCCAACGCTAATATCTTGAGGGTTATTTAATTGTTGCTAATATATTAAAATATGCATTACTAAGATGTTCTATATCTGTTCTTTTGTTAACACAATTCTTATTTTTCTGGATCTCAATCATCTCCGCTATCAACCTTTTTTTGTAATTGGATTGTGTTTGTAAAATTGTTGTATTGTCATATTCAAAATCATGTCCAGTTTCTATTTTATGTTCGACTAGAGCTGTTGGATTCGATCTTAAGAGGTAATTCTTCTGATCGTTTTTATGTTCTCTCAATCGTGTTTTTAAATATCTACCAGTTTGGCCTATGTAGCATTTATTACATTGGGAACAAGGAATGTTATAAACTACATTCGATTTATTTAGCTTTTCTGTGCTGGACTTAGTCTTGGAATAAAAGCAGTTCTTCACTGTATTCTGACTTTTCATCGCAATCTTAACTTTTTCTCCTCTCTTAGTCACCTGATCTTTGAATATGGTTTGTATTCTTTCGGACAGGTTACTAATGTAAGGTAGCTTACAGAACGTGAATGGTTCATTTTGTTTAGGTACTACTCTTGCTGGAATTGTTCCTAGTAAGATTCAATATGTACTAAGTTTAGGTGACAAGTATAGTTTACCTTGTAATAATAGAGATCATCCAATTAAAGATTTAATCATAGATCTAGAATATATTCTGGATAAGTTCGATGATGAGTCTAAAATTCAAATTAGGAACCAATGTATTAATATTACGACCAATTATATTCGCTCGAATAAACCATTGAATTATCAAAGACAGCAGCTTCTAGTTATGGCAGAACAAACTTTAAAGTTCCTTAAAAGTAATAAAGATAATATAATGGTTTTGAAAGCTGACAAAGGTAACACTACTGTCATCATAGATAAGGCAGAGTATTTTGACAAGTCTCGAAATATGCTTGAGGACACAACAACATATAAAAAGCTTAACAAAGACCCAACCATTTCAGTTCAGAACAAGAATAACAAAATGATAGAATCTCTCATCAAGGACGGTTTTATAGATAAAGAGCAGGGAAGGAAACTGAAAACGAATGCAGCCCACCCACCTAAAATCTATTTCCAACCTAAAATACATAAAGACAATAGACCCTTAAGGCCAATTGTTTCATTTGTTGGTTCACCTTTGTATATTCTGACAGGATTCTTAGCCTCTCTGTTAAATGGTATCTATGTCAAGGACGATTGTCATGTTCGTAATTCCTTTGAGTTTGTTGCAGATATAAAAAATGTCAAAATACCTAATGATTATGAAATTATTTCACTAGATGTCATCTCACTTTTCACTAATATCCCCACAGATGTAGTAGTAAATATAGTTAGGAAGAAGTGGCATCTTATAGAAAATGAGGTTAAAATTCCTTTGATCAAGTTTATCGAGTTGTTGGAGTTCGTGTTTGATAACAGTTATTTTCAGTACCAAGAAGAGTTTTATAAACAAATATATGGCTTAGGAATGGGTAACTGTTTGTCACCAGTCTGTTCGGATTTAGTGATGCAAGATCTTCAAGATCAGTGCATAAAAAAACTTCCTTTTAAATTACCTTTTTATAAAAGATATGTGGATGATATAATAACGTCAATCCCAAATAATCAAGAACTAGTCATCTTAGACATATTTAACAGTTACCACCCTAGAGTTCAGTTCACCTGTGAGAAAGAGAATGATAATAGGATTGCATTTCTGGATGTACTACTCATTAGACACGAACAAAGTATTGAAACTGATTGGTATCACAAACCTACTTTCTCTGAAAGGTTTCTTAATTTCTCATCCGAACACCCATTTAAACAAAAAATTAATATCATTAATAACCTTAAGTACAGAGCAACATCCCTTTCAACGGAGAAATTCCATGAAAGGAACCTAAAGTACATAGAGAACATGTTGGTTAAGAATAATTACCCTGTATCGCTTATTAAGAAGATTATTAACAAAACAATTCCAGCAAGAGTAGTACCTAAACAAAATGAACCATTCACGTTCTGTAAGCTACCTTACATTAGTAACCTGTCCGAAAGAATACAAACCATATTCAAAGATCAGGTGACTAAGAGAGGAGAAAAAGTTAAGATTGCGATGAAAAGTCAGAATACAGTGAAGAACTGCTTTTATTCCAAGACTAAGTCCAGCACAGAAAAGCTAAATAAATCGAATGTAGTTTATAACATTCCTTGTTCCCAATGTAATAAATGCTACATAGGCCAAACTGGTAGATATTTAAAAACACGATTGAGAGAACATAAAAACGATCAGAAGAATTACCTCTTAAGATCGAATCCAACAGCTCTAGTCGAACATAAAATAGAAACTGGACATGATTTTGAATATGACAATACAACAATTTTACAAACACAATCCAATTACAAAAAAAGGTTGATAGCGGAGATGATTGAGATCCAGAAAAATAAGAATTGTGTTAACAAAAGAACAGATATAGAACATCTTAGTAATGCATATTTTAATATATTAGCAACAATTAAATAACCCTCAAGATATTAGCGTTGGAATGTGTGGTATTCAGTTTTTTGTTTCCCATCCTATTAATGATGACGATAAATAAAATCAGTACGTGTATGTAGCTGTTCTAATACACACACAATTGCGTCCTAAAAGCTTAGTTTATAAAGATAATTTATGTTATTAATTTTTGAATAACATTTCCGTTTGATGAATGGTTAATTTTTGTTTTTTTTTTATGTCTCATTTGAGGTGTGTAAAGTTTGTTGTTTTTGCTTTTTTAAATTTTAAATTGTTATTGTTGTGCTACGTAATTGTGTGTTTTTTTTTAATTTTTTATCAACTATGTTTTCGAGAAACCTCTATACCTATGTGAATCTGTTAAACAACAATGACAAGGAAAGTCTAATTTAAATGTAAGTAATCAAGTCAATTTCACTACCCTTTGTTAACTATAAGTATTTTTTCTATGTTTTATGATGCTACTCTCCCCACTTACAATATAGCTATATATATTTTTATATACGTATAATTTATTTGAAGGTTTCATGTAATTCTGCTATTTTCTTTCTGTTTTTATGAAATATTTATTCAAGTAATGTAGTGCGAAATCGGAGGATAGCTCTGTTTTTTGTTTGTCTTTTGTATTTTTGTAGTTCATCATCTAAGTTTGTAAAGAACCCTTTTATTTTTTATCATTACAGTGTCCTGAAGATGCAAATAAATTTTGCGAAACGTCGACTTTTTTAAAAACCAGACTTCTGCGGTTTTTTTTTTCCGATCCTACCCAAACAATTGAAAATTCTATAGTATACTACCCCATATTTTTCCAGGAGAAAGACGAAAATGAGGAGCTTATTATAGGAAAATTTCAAAATTTTCCAGTGGAAAATCATTCCAGGAAAAATTCTGGAAAATTGACTTTTTTAAGTAAAATTCATTTTCTTTCTTTTTAGTTTCTTTCTAGAAAACTGGCAAAAGGAAAATTATGAAAATTTTCCAGAAAAAAAAGGAAAGCGAGGAGTTCATTATAGCAAATTTTTAAAATTTTCTAGTGATTATTTCATTGATTATAAAATAGACCCATCAGAAAACGTCATTTTTTGAATGAATTTTGTTTAAATAAGTGATTATTTCACAAGACCTTGTTTATCAGCGATTAAATTTTTGTTTACCTTTTTTGACAGAATTTTGATAGAAATATTCTGACATTTTATAATAAATAGAACTCTTTGGATAGGATTGACGCCAACAATTCAATCCTAATTATTCAGGAAATAATCTAGCCGTATACCA